ATTCGATTTATTTTAATGAATTTCACAATAGCTGGCTCTCTGTAGATTTTATACAGTTCAGTATTATATCATCTTCTCCAGGAATTATTTATTTTTATCCCACCAAGGATGGCCCTCAAAACTTTTCTCTCAAAAATGGCAATTTTATTTTCACCAGCTAGAGTTAGGTTCCAGGTTTAAGTCTAACACATTTTAGATATTTTCCTCTACATGACGTTTTTTTGTTCTTATCCATTCTATTCAAGTGACCGGCCATATTTATCTTTTATAATGTTTACAAAATTTTTGTATAACTTCAATATATCTAGCATTATATAGTTATTATATTCTGCTTTCAATTCTTAGGTTTAAAAAAATAATTCAGAAGAAAAGAATTTCAAATGTAGGCATAATAAATATTTTTATAAATACTAGTTTGTTCAGCATGGAAAATTGCATCAATGGTTTGCCAATCTATTGAGGCTTCTCCCATATCCTTACAACAAAAATTGATACAGTTTTGTTTTCAGAAAATGGACCGGCTGTAGAACTTCAATAAATTTCATTAAATTTGTTTACTAGCTTGTAGCAAATTAATGTATCAATTCCATATGGTTTATTTATTAGTTGTGTTACCAAAGAAGATAAACTGATTATTAAAGTAATTGATTTGATTTTAAATTGTAGTCATGTTATTAAATTATGCTTTGTTATAAAAAGAACTAACTTTACCATAAAAGTCTTTGCAAAATGAAAGAAATAGGTTTTTATATTTGAATTTGTGTGGAAAATGGGTTCAATTTAAGAAGAAAAAAGAAATTGAAATAAAAATTGCTAAGCTGCAAATTAATAATGATACCAAACATGAAGGAAAATAGTTACAAAAAATTATAAATATAAGACTACAATTATTAATTAGCAATCATTTTTTTTCTGAAGTAAAGTGAATGAAATGTTATGAAAACATGCTTAACAAGTCATAATTTTGTATTCCTACTAATAGTCCAAATTAAAACATTACTGCTTTAAACCTAAGTTTACAAGAATTAATTTTTTTCACTTAACGTTTTAATATTGTTATTGAAGCGTTGATTTATTAACAACATTAAATACATTATACAACTAATATATAATAATTAAAGATAAACGACTGGAATTAACATGATTTCAAATTTTCAAGTATGTAATTAAGCCTTCAGTTTATGAAAAATATGTTCGATTATAATTAAAATTAAGTATCGAAAATAAAAAAAAATAAAAAACACTGTCAGCCCTCAAAAAGTTTGATATTAAAAAGATAATCTTTACCTTGGTATTTTAAATCAAGCTCTCGTAACTGCGTTAAGTTTCTTTGAATGTCATCAGGAATATTTTCCACAAAATCAAGATAATCCTCTATGTATACAGCTGAATGCATTGCTTCAAGAGCAGCTTGATTCAGCATCTTATTTGGATCAGACTCAGATTTCTGTGAAACAAACATTTTAACAAAATTAAAACTATCTAACGAAGAGAGAAAATTATAATTTTTAAGATACCATCATATGAAATTTTAGAAATATGAAGACTTTAGGTTATATTAATTAGTTTAATGTAACCAGTGTCATTTTGAATCCAAGCAATAACAACAAAATATACAGAATTTAGCATTTTTTGAAATGCTTCCGTCTGCTTATTTCTGTTAGGAAACTTTTTTTCTTCTTGAAGGTTTATAGTTTCAAGTATTCGCTTTACCTGAACTTTAAGAATTTAATTTTAAATTTATTTCAACTAATTCAATCAAATATTATGTTAAAAATTGTTAATAAAGTCAATTACAAATTTTTACTTAGTTTATTTCTGTTCTAAAAAAATAAAATGAAAATCTAGTTTTTTGTTGACTGCCACTGCAACCCAACTCGTTTTCATCGCATTTTTTGGAAGTGGCATACAGTAAATTTTGTTCAGGCTTAGGGTGCCTTTTTTTCTCCAAATTAAAAACCTTTTATTCAAATTAAAAAATGGTAAGTTTAATCTACAACTATATGTTATAAAATTTTCTATCAATAATTTATACTAAGGTTGTTTCAACTCTATCCATTCATAAGAAAATTAAGTTATGCATGTCCACGTGTAAAATGATCAAATATATTGTTTACGCTTCGTAAGCTATATTAGTTTTTCAAATTTATGTAAATAATTGTAAAATAAAGCTAATTCTTATCAATATTCCGGTTGATTCTCTTCCATAGGGTAACCTATTTAACGTGTCAGCTTAGCTCTAATCGAATGCTTTATCTTTTATTGAAATTATTCCTATAATTCTCACTAAAACTTCTGTGAAAATAGTTGTGTTTTAGTATTAAACTATGTAATCTAGCTATATTTAACCATTGTATGGCCAAGGTTTCTAAATAGTAAATTTTGTGATTTATATATAATGCTCCCTAGTTCTTATCGCTTATTTCTAATGAATCGTTGACGCGCACTTAATAGAAGACTTCTTTTTTATTCGCTTTAAACTTCAAGAGGCAGGAATTTAGTGGAGGCTCACGTAAGCCTGATTGGATGAAAATTAAAACATTTCAACCTCTAGAAATAGTAAATAAACTATGTTATTAAATTTCGTTAGTTTTTAATCAATTGTAATGAGTATAGTATGCTTTTAAAGAAAGTTTTTAAAGCTGACACAATATATATTTGTATCCTTATCCCGTGTATTTGAACATGTAAAACAATGCAGTTTTTAATTAATTCATGGAAACTGGATAGTTTTAAATGTTACATTATTATGCTGCTTTATCCTGTACAATGCCTCACTATTAAAATTGCCTTCTATTATGAGAGATGTATTTGCATTTCATTGGAGTTGAAACTTTTTCTAGGCAAAACGAACCAAGAAGGTTGGAGTAGTTGGTAAATATGGCACACGTTATGGTGCATCCCTAAGAAAAATGGTTAAAAAGATGGAAATCACACAGCATTCAAAGTACACCTGTGTATTTTGTGGGAAAGTAAGTCCATAATATTATAATATGTGTATATGTAAATTTAGCACATTTTATTAAAGAATAAAGCTCACGCTCGGATAAGTTTTAAAATCATGCAGTTTATTTAAGAAGGACAAAATTTATTTTTATTGCAAATTAGAATAAGTATATCTATTGATGATTTTATTTAAATATTGTTATGCTGATTTTTGTGGACTACGTAAATGTAAATAACAAAATTATTGATTCACAGCGAAGGTGAAGATTCAC